TGTATTAAAATTCAAAGTACTTTTTGCTGCTGCAGATGTATCATCATTACAGAATAAGACAATTTTAATGTACAACCAGATGGCAATAGCATTACTTAGGGTGGCTAAAAGTTATAGGGTGACTTGTACACACAGTGCAAATGGCCTGAAACTGAAGATGGTGCCCATCATCATCCCAGAGCACAAAGCTGAACAGTCCAGTTTGTTTGAAGCATCGTGGGAATGCAGTTGGAAGAGTGTTTAAATAAGCAGCTGTACCTGCATGTGATTGAATTCACATGAAATTAGCAGGCACTGACCTACTCCTCAGTAAACTGCCTGTGGTTTCAAACAGGAATCTCAAAGCAGGCCAAAGCTGACAGACTTTCTATCTGTGCAGCAGGCAGAGTCAGTCCTGAGGAGCTCCAATGAACCTCCACAAGGGTGTGAAAGACATAAGCTGGGAATGGTTTGGAAGCAGATGGTCAGACACTGATCAGGTACATAATTACAGGCACCAATCTGAGGAAAGCAGTTTCTCAAAGCTCCCTACACATCCTGTAAAGAATGATACCTCTGGTCCTTCAGAGCCGCCCCAAATGATACCTCTGATCCTTCAGAGCAGCCCCAAATGATAGCTCTGGTCCTTCAGAGCAGCCCCAAAGCTCAGCCTCAGGTCTATACTGTGGCCAAGGAGAGCTGAGCTCTCTGCACGAGGGAACCAGGGAAAATCAGCCTTCCCTTGTATAAATCATCTGACATGACTTTATGAGCCAAAAAGTGTATTTCTGTCCCTCTTGTTCACATGCACTTCTTATGCTCTCAGGAGGAGCTTGCTGTCCACGCTGGGGAAGAAATACCCAGCCCACACAGGTAAGAGAAGTGCTGGTTGAAGGATCAAAGCTAAGCACGTCCATTCAGAGTGCCACAAACAGGAACAGAGAATGGTGCTTCTTCAAGAGGTTTTTTTATTGTGTTTCCCTTGTGCAGTTTAGTGAAAACAGACAACAGGAGCTGTTTGAAATACAGTTTTAATTTACTATCCTAACATGCTGAGAAGCAATTAGATTCAAGTTAATTACTGTAAATAGTTATTATAATTACTTGTAAAGAATTCAACTACCTGTACATCTGTTAAAGTCAGTGGAGATCTGTACTTTTTTTTTTTTTTTAAGAGAAGGCTTAATGTTATTACTTAAGGGCCAAACTATTTTCATGAGCTCTTCAAAAAGAAGTAGCTATACCATAGACACTACTGATGGAGAGCACCTGTTGGGGCATGTATGCCCTTGACAAGACTGAGTGGGTGTATCAGCAAACTGTCTGAAGAATTGTCTAGTCTAGCTTATATTCACAGAACCTTAAAGAACTTTCCTCAAAATAAAAAAGAAATAAGAAAAAAAAATTGCAGTTGAAGACTGATTTTCTTAGATTGGTTTTATTTATCAGGTTTCTATCCCTACTTGTAGCATGAAGAAAATATTGTCCTGTTAACATCTTTTTATCAAGAACAGTATTTCTTTATTTGACACTGGACAGAGTCTGGGCTGGCCTGGTGCACAGTTTTATACCACATTTTGGCAGGCACACAAAGCAGCTGGAGTTCCACCCCTTCTGTGCCCTCACACACACACTCTTGGTTCTTCCTCCTCACACAGGTCTTCCAACTCTTTTTCTGAACCAGCTGTCTCTGGTTTGGACTATTTTTGCACCAGCTGATGGTTGCTGAGCCCATCCTGGTCTGCTGTTTGGGTTCTGGCTCACCTGAAACATCTCCTGATGTCTGGGGGCAATTCCAACAAGCACACACAGATTACATTAGTTTGTCTAAGCATGTGTTAGAATTTCTTTTTCAACAACACTTGACTTCCACATGTGCACCAGTGTTTCCCACACCAAATACACACCTTTAGCTACCAAAAACCCCAAACCCCAAAAACAGGAATGTGTTGTTGAGTTGTCCTACCATTTATGAGCTTCATCTCAGCTCTAATATCACAACTACAAAGACAACAATTTGTAACACAGGACAGGGAAAGTTAGGGGACCTGACAACAGAAAGGTTGAGAGCTAGTCTCTGAATACTGGATTGTGAAAAAGGAATTAGAAGCCTGTTTCTTACCCTCCTAAGTTTAATACTTTATTAGCTCCTGCTCTGGAGGGCATTTCTTTGCATGCCTTTACCTTTTAGCTTGTAGCAACTTAAAGCAGCTTTGCCCAGGGCTTGTGCAGTTGATTGAAATGCTGCTGAGAGCCTCTGCAGCTGATGGAGAACTGCCACAAGCCAAGGTGATGGCCACAGGCTGCTCTCTGATGGGATTTCACAGCTCTCACACTGTCCCATAGCCCTGCTGCATTTTACCAATGATATCACCCAAAATATTTAGATAGACCTCAAAGTGGATATTCAGCTACTGCACCAACAGAGGTGTACCTCAAAAAGGTAAGGGAAGGACGAAGTGGAAAGCAAAGAAAAAAAGCAACTAAAATATGTGCATTTCTTTAAAAAAGTTTTAAAGTGGTTTCATATAAGAAAACTCCTTTGCTACAGTTTTCCCTTTGAAATACTGGTGTCTTGCAATCCCAATATATATAAACATTTCCTATTTTAAAAACTGACATATGGCAAAAATTGGTAGCAGTAAATAAATGCATATAAAGCTAAATCGTGCCATCCTAAATGTTAGTAAAAATGACAAAATAAAATACTATCTATATAAACTATGCACAGGTGTGTAGCATATTACAAGCAAAAAAACATATCTTGCAATTATAAGCCCACAGTATTTATTTCAGTTGTCTGTAATTACATTTTTTATATGTTTGTTTAGTAATATCAATCCAAGACATCATTTTGAGGATATAATTAACTGCATGTTAGAACAGGATGTGTTAGACTGTTTTTGTGTGTTGAAAGAGACAAAAATCTCTGTTAGCTGTATTTAAGTGCCATCTAGTGTCTCAATCCACCAATTTCACTCTGAAAACCCTCAAAGCTGTCAGAGCAAAATTAAGTTGCAGGGTTAAAAAAGAGCAAGGGTCACAATGTTCCCATTTTAGCACTAACATGAAGTCCTTAATCTGTATGGACAGTAAATACAGATCTCTGGGTCCCACTGGCAGGCATCTAGTTTTTCAAACTTTTACAGCTTAAAGTTTAAAGCTTATATTCTTGACAACTTCAGAACCAATCTAGGTTAAAATAAGTTTATAGCTGAGTCACATTGTCACATATGAAATTAGCCATTAGGAAATTATGTCTTCCATCCTGTCTCTGTTTCCACAGTACTGAACAATTGATAGTATCTGTAACTTTACTAAAGTGCTCTTGGCGTGCTCGTCACAAATGGCATCTCTAATATCTCTAATGGTCTATGTAAACTTCAGTTTGTCTCTTTTCTTCCTGAAATTCATTAAATGCTACAAAGAAAGAAAGATCACAGCCATTACAGAGAGCTGGTGTAGCTCAAAGTAAAATATGCAAAACATTTGGGCTTTCTGCTGTAGTTAGTGTGACCATAACAATTAGCTTTGGCACCCTTAGAAATGAGGACTGGCTCCTACACCTCTGAGACATTTATTGGAAAGTCTTGTCTTTAAATCACAATGATAAAAATAAATTAAAATAACTTTTCAAGTACTATTTATCCTGACTGCTACAATAAGCAAGGGTAAGTTGACAAGTACATCAAAGAACTTCTACTTATGTCATGAAGTGAATTAGTGTGAATTTGTTTCAGAAATACAAAACGGGAAAAAGAAATAGAAAATATAAAGATACGAAAAACCACAAGAAACAGTTTCTGATCTGCATTAAGAAAGGCTTGTGATGAGGTGTCAAACTAGGATGAGAGAATGCTTAGATGGAAAACATTTAGGCGAGACAAGCACATTCAGAGGAGCTTTTAGAAATCTACAGCTGCACACGTGCATAAATCTATTGGGCACAAATGAAATTGATAAAAAATTATTTTTCAGCTTTATCTAGCTTGGAATTTTTTTGTGTTTTCTGTGAATGACAAAATATTTACAGAAAACAAAAAAGGTGGATTGTGGTTTTCTGTTTGATGTATATTTTGACCTAAGTTTGCGTATAAAGGACGAGACGCGGTTCAGCAGCCCTCCAGCCCGGGAAGGAGCTCAGGTCTGACACACGGGCAGGATCCCACCAGAAGGTTTGGAAACCAGGTGGAAAAGCGGGCTGGAGCTGCCGGGCGCTGCCCCGGCTCGGACATGGAAAGCTGTGCCTTGCACAGAGGGCGGAACCCTTGTTTTAAATGCAAATCCCGGCAGGAGCCCCGGGGCCTCCGGGATAGCAGCTCCGTGAGGGGAAGCGCACCCCGTGAGGGGGAGCGCGGGCGCGCAGCATCCCCGCCCCCGGGCGCCTCTCCCCGCGCTCCCGCCCCGGGCCGTGATTGGCCCCGCGCCCTCTCGCTTCTCCAATCCCAGGAGCGGAGTCCGTTCCCGCCCCCGCCTGATCCCGCCCACTGAAGCGACAGCTCGGCTCCACCTTTCCGGCCGTCTCCATGGCAGCGAGGGCGGGGGGTTTTAAGACGTCCCGGAGACCATTGCGGTTGGTTGCTTTGCTTTTCGAAGCCGGCGAGGCTAAAGGTAAACTAGCTAGTGTATTTGGTATTTTATTTTTTTTTCCTGACTTATTGTCCCGTAATCATACGGGATGGTACCTTTCAAAGAGATCGTAAATCCATCCTCCCCCCTCCTCCCCCCCCCCCTTTCCCAATGGTAGGGCGCAGGCGGTGCGCGGCCCCGCTGCGGCCGTGGCGCTCCCGCCCCGCTGGGGCCGCGGCCTGAGGCGGAGTGGCCGCGAGTCCTGGGGCGGAGGTGCCGCACTCGGCCCCAGGGGCTTCCCTGGGGCTGCTGGAGATCCGGGGGCTGCCCGCGGAGGTTCATCCCGGGCTGCCTCAGGCCAGGGCAGCGGTTGTCCCACGGTGCGGCGGGCGGAGGATGCTCGGGCCGGTGCCGGTCTGTCACGCACGATGCTGGTGCTGGTTTATCGCTGCTGTTGTCAGCTATGGGCGCCCTTAGGGACAGCAGGTACGGACGGCGGGATGCTCTGGCTTCCCCTGTCCCCGGTAAAGGTGTGTCACAAAGAGCACGAAGTGCCCCGGCTGAAGGAATGAGCACGGAATGGATGTGCTCCGTGTTAAACGGGGTTAAACATTAGCGACAGGCCAGGCGGACAGAAGTGTTTTCCGAGTGTGATAAAACATAACATCCCTAGAAGATGCACCCGTGTCAACAGAGGCCACATGTAAATCACTGATTTCAGAGTTAGGTGTGACACATGATAGTGAGGAGGCCTTAACTAATGTTGTCTTAATGAGCTCTTTTAGTTCTCCCACCCTTTGACATTATCAACACGTGACAAGTTACTAATTTTACTTAAAGTAAAAACGCAGTCACCTCTGAGGTGAAAAAAAATAGCCAAAATATTTTCAGTCTTCTGGAAAGTGTTATACGATCTTTATTTGCATCACTGGGCAGTTGATCTCCTTAATAGCTCAGAAAAAAACATTAAGTTTTAAACAATTTAAACATAGTTTCCTGTGAACAGGTCCCTGTATCTGTGAGAAGTAGTTTACAAGTATAACTGTGTTCAGTGTAACGTGATAAAAGCCAGAAATCAGTAATGTAAACAGTAATAGTCAATTTATGTAAGCACAAAGTGTGTGTGTGGTTATAAGCATATGAAACTCAGAAAACTCAGTGCTGAATCTGAAACTGAAAAACACTTGGTTTTCATAAATTACTAGAATACAGTAGCATTTTCCTAAAACATATTGTGAGCATTAGTTGTGTGAATGTATTCCAGGCAAATTGTAGCAGTGCCTTGTGGCAGGTTTTGTGTAGATGGCTGACTTGTATAATGTGTGCAGCTTTTTAACCAGAATTGTTTAATACTGGAAAGTGTACGTTAATGTACATCGTTAGAAAGTTTTAATTTCACTTGGCTTTCCTTTTATAGAGTACAAAACTGGGGCAAACAACTGAAGATGTCATCCTGTTTGGCTCAGGAGGTTCACCTTGCTAGAAGACACGAGGAGATGTGAGTAGTTGTGCTCTGCCTCGCAGCAGTTCGTGTTGGGTCTTGTGATTTTCCCCCTCCCTGCCCACGACCCTCGGTGCCGGTGAAATCTGAGCTCTGCACAGCACAGTGGTGCTGCAGCAAGGGGCTGGAGTTCCAGGAGGTGGCACTCTTCCTTCAGGAACCATGGGAATTAGCATCCTTGCCTGCCGTTTAGGGTATTTAGGTTGATGAGGTTTTTGACTTCCAATGGTGGTACTGGTTTAAGATCTCCATTGTCAACCTGTCACTGTTTAAATTCCTATTTGGGGAAGGTAATTGGATTCTCTCACTCAATGCCTCAATTATAGAGTTGCTGCTTTGTTGCCCTGTAAACTCAAATTGTGAGGCAAATACAGTAGTGATTCAGGAAAATTTGCTTTTCTTGTAACAACTAGTACGTGCCAACGAGCAAATGTGGTACTGATCAAGTGACCCCAACCCACCCTGTCTTTCCTTCTTGGGGGAGATTCAGTGTTTCTAAGCACCTCAGCACTTGAGGACTGCTGCTTGCAACGTTACAGCTTTGTACCAGCACAGCAGGTGATGCCTGCCTGTACCTTTTCCCTCCCCCAGCACACCCACCCTGCAGCCGGCTTAATTAGCCCCATAGTTTTGAGAAAACTGGGTAAGGTAAAAAGGTTATTTTCTAGCTCCTGAGCAAAATGTTCTACCCACTTAGCAAAATGTTTTCCTTTGTAGACTGTCTCAGAGATCAGAGCTGCTACAGCAGATGGAGACTTATCTAAGAGACAAAAAGACTAAAAAGACATGGCAAACTCAAGCAGCTGATGCAGCTCATAAAAGGAATGCAGCACTTTTAAATGTAAGTTTCTGCAACTACCAGGAACCGTATCAAAATGTCACGGTTATGTAGCTTAGATAATTAAAAAAAAAAAAAGAGAAGTGTTTGCTCTATATTTGCTCTATAGTTGTCATTTGAATTCTCTTCTATATGGTTCCCTCTTCTGGAACTTGACCAAAAAGTATTAAATGACAAGTGTTTATTATCTGATGGCATCACTACCTATTTCCCGTGCCCTTCTTACAAAAGCCTCGTGGTGGCAGCTGCTACTATGTATTTTTATTTTTTTTTTGAGCACATGTAGTGATGTAACACATGCTAGTACATGACTGCCTGAGAGAACTTAGGGCTCTGTCAGGACTCACAGCCCCTCTGCGCTGCAGGGATGTTTGGAAATGGACTGACCAGGCTGCAGTGCTTTGGGCCAAGGGTAGGAACTGTTCTCCTGCTGTGGTTAAGTTGTGGAAGAGGTTCTCAGTTTAATATTTTTCTCTAAAGAGGTGTAGAGTGACTTCAAGCATTTTACTTGCAAGTCGGTAAAAGCAGACTTCATAGGGGTGACACCACTAATAATGTTCATACCCGTTGTAATATTCAGGTAAAATTTGTTTCCTAGGTAATTAAAAAGATCAAAGTTTGACTGGAATACTGAAAGGCTCCTCTGGAACTCCTAGCTCAGGCATCTGAGTTTGAAGAGATGCACTTGACCACTGACATGATGCATTTGAAAAATGTGTGTTGCTTTTCCAGGAGGCAGCAGAAAACTGAACCTCCTGTCCCTTTTCTTTAATCTCCTACTTACTAAGGGTCTATGATGCATGTGTTGTGTTTATTGAAAAAGTAAGTTTTACTCTAGAAAATTACAAGATTAATTTGTGTCACCAGAATTTCTTGTTTTTTTTTTTTTTTCATGCAGAGCCTGGTTCAGATTTAAAATGTTCACATTTTGGGTGGGTATAATTCTATTGCATTAGAGTGTGCATTTAGAAGAGATGTTTATTTAGAGAAGGGCAGACAAGAAGAACAGTTAGCCGGGAATGCCTTCTTGACTATTCTGTGACAAAGAAGATTTTTCAGCTTGGGCTGGTGAACTGGTACATTCTGGACAGAGGCAATCAAGCCCCTCTTTATTTGGTGTACCAAGTGTAGGTGCTTCAGTGAGAGGCTGAGGATAAATGGATGGTTTGGTTATTTTTTCCATAACTCCTGCTCCGTTCATTTAGTACTTTCAGCCGTTATGATTCCTATTTTCCATAGGCATTTTAGGTTAGATTTTTACTTTATAAATAGAGGGGTTTATAAATTATTTGTGTTTATGGATGCATTCTGAGTTTACATATACAGGCAAACACAATAAATGCAGAATATATTTCTCCATCCTGAAAGCTATATTGTAGTGAAAATGGTAACAATAGCTCAGACATATACAGAGTGTAAATATTTCTGCAGTTAAACAGATATTTGCTATCTTCTGTCACATCCTCAAAATTGTTCCTTTCAAGTGTCAAAAATGTTGGTGTTTGTACAGAAAAAAAGCAAAAACATATGTATCAAAACAAATTCTGTTGCAGGATAAAATAGCATAAATCAATTTAAATCTATTAATTTTATCCTAGTTTTAACAAGCATGCACTCCTGCAGATGCTTTTTGATAACAGAAGAAAACAGGAAAAAAAATATCTATGCAGCATAATATATGAGAAGCTTGAAAACAAGACTGATTAATGTGCCAGATTCAGAATATTGTTCCTGATACCAGGCACTGTACATTTCACAGTTACCATGTGGAGAGTTGTTGATTTGGCCTACTCAAAAATACATGGACATGACGAAGTGTTATTTTTTTATTTGCATTTCTGGTTTTCTGCGTGTAAGCAAAATCAGTTGTTTTCAGTAATAGATCATAGCGAAAGCCATTTTTCTTTCTCTGTGCTAGTTGGAATTTATGCACAGGAAAGATTTTAAAATTAATTTAAATTCTAATCAGTAGGAAGCAAGGAACTAACCTTTTTTTTTTAATTGAAATTTTGACATTATAAGCATTTGTTCAGCATTTTAGCATAATTATCAGAGTATTTTCCTCAATGTCTTTAGAGGGAGACTGCAGATTAGGGAAATCTGTATCATTTGGTGCTTATATAATGTTGTCGTAATAAAAGCAGAAATTAGACTAGTATTTGTAATCTAATTTATGACATTTGTTTCTCAGTGATATTTCTTGTGTTTAGAAATATGTATTACTGTGCAACAGCTTGTAACATGAAATAGAAAAGAAAGAGTATGCTGTATAGTAATTAGTACTGGAAAGGTAATTTAGAACAAATTTGCTTTCCTTCCCAGGCATGCAATTCCAGAATTATTTAAGTGTGATTGTGCCAGACTGATATCAATATAAGTGACAGCTGAATTTGGTCCCCTAAAAGCAATGTATGTGTCATGCATTCCATTTTACCTCTGGGGAAGGGTCTTGAATTGTTTTTGTTCCAGTCCTTGTGGTTTTAGGGGAAGCACTGTAAGATGCTCTCTTTTTTTCAGTACAGTGACATATTAGATTAGCTGTTTTTTTTCCAAAGAAGTTTATACTGCTGATGTATTTATTTTTATATTGATGACAGGGATTTATTTTTCCTATAAAGCTTACCAGTTGCATAGAAACACAAGTGCCATCTAATCTTTGAGTAGTTCTAGTTATTTTCTAAAGCATACTACACCTTCCAGCAAAAATTTCTTTCACTGTCTGTCATTAAATCAGTATTCTGAATGACAATAGACTGCACAACACAAACTGGAGTGAGCAATGAAAAGACACATCCAATATCTAGGCTATGCCAAAGTGACCTTCTCTACTAAACATATATGCACAACTGCTGTCTCCTTTCTTGCATGAAAGACTTTCATTTCCTGTCACCATAAACATTCCAGTTACTTGGCTGAGTCTATAAAGAAATAATGATTGATATTCTTCTTCCTCCCTGTTAAAACTCCGACAGTAATTAGGAAGAAGGAATCAGAAAGGAGGAAAATCCAGTGGAAGAATATGAGGTGAACATTACTGTATGATCCTTTATTCAGTCTGGTTTGTTATGGGGATAACTTCTCCAGACTTGGCCTGAGCCATTCTGACACGAGCTTCATTTGGTGCTGTTTGTTTGTGTCTGTTCTAAGTATGTGCAACAGAGAAATTCTTTGCTTAAGTCACTTAGATCTGTGTTGGCCTCTGTTATTTTGACATCAGGATTTCAAATGGCCTATGTCCTTTTTCCTATTCCCTCTATATGTTTATTCCATTAGTCTCTTCTTACCTGAGAAGGGGCAGCCATTTGCTGCTTCTGAGAATTTGGATAAATCTGAGAATTAGTGTACTCTTTCTCAGACATCACAGTGGTATGGATTTTGCTATAGAAAAGGGAGGAACAATTTTACTTGGATTAGGTTTGTTAATTATGTACAAGAGAATATTGTAAAAGGAATTAATGAAATAAAATAAGATGAACACTAAATTGAACAATCTGACTGTGTGTGTCACTAAGTTAAACTTCAGCAAGGCTGGGTTTTTGCTTTTATTAATCATACTCTACTGAACTAAACTTGAGTTGAGCACTGTTTACTTATTGATGTGTTCAGACTGGCTATTATTCAATACGAGTAATCATGTTTGGTCTCTCTTGTGGATATGCTCCTCCAGAATCTCACTCTTCTTTTCAGCAGCAGTGGTGGTGAATATTTGGGAAGTCCCTTTGGGGAATTTCCTCTCTCATTTAGTTTTTCTGTTGTACTCTTCACACCCGCTCTCTGCTCCCAACTCTGCCATCTGCTATACTTTCTTTCCCCCTCCACTCTGTTCAGCTTTGGCTTCTTCACACCCCACTCCCACGTCCCTTTCTGTCTCTCTTCATCTGCCCACCACTCAATCTCTTCAATGTTTGGGTATGGAACTAAGCCCACAAGAACAGGTCAGAACTTTAAAGGGGGAGGGTGGTTAGTTTGGGAGCATGCTTTGATTTGTTTGTTGCTGTTGATTTTTTTGGTTGCTTCTTTTTTATAAGATTTATTTGGGCCTGTGTGAATCCAGCACACATCCACTGGACAAGCAGAAACCCAAATACTGATTTTTTTTTTGTAGAAAACTATGTGAGGTGCATTGTCATCCAAGCTTGTCTGGTGAACAGCTTGCTGCAGCTCTACATTTATGTGCACATGTTATGCATGCATATTAGCAAGTCATCTTTGTCTTGAGAAGTAAAGATCTTGCACATAATTTGCCTAGTTACTTTACAGTTACAGTAGCTAGAATACATACTTCAGTCTTATGCAGCACAGAGAAAGATGTTCCATTCCCCTCTATTTCCTTAAGTTTTATACAACAGAATTTAACTAATTTACCCTGGTGTCCAGAGAGAATAGCAGTGTTTACAGCAGAAGTCTTACTTGGTTGTGAAATGTATTCTTGTGTGAAATAGGTGCAGCAAACACATTTAGCAGCTGTAGGGTGTTAGTCTAAGTAGTACAAGTTGTATTTCAGAGTGACTAAACAAATATTTGAACTTCAGTGTTAATTTTTGAATGCTGTTTAGCTGTAATGGGTTTATTTAGTTAATTTAAATGTCTTTATGTGTGTATTTTTCTTTTAAAATTCCCAGTGCTTGTTTTTAAAATGTACTTTGCTTGTGTTTTAGGATATAGAAGCAGCAGAAAAAAGGCTGCAAGAAAGAATGTATTTACTTCCACATCCTGATACTGTTAAGTTAGAAGTAAGTCCTAGAACTCTGTCTTTTCATTTGTTTCCATTTGCTGTTTACCAAATATTTTGCCTTTTTTTTCCCCTGAAGCATGTTCTTAAAGTGAAAATAATTGATTTTAAAATCCAGTGACTGGTATAGCCAAAGGCCTTGCTACTGTTGTAGCAAGCTGAACCTAAATTCTGGGACAAGGTCCCTAGATTCTGGAGCATTCTGGTGGAAATATTTAGCAGCTTACAGATCTATACAAACTTCTATTTAAAAATGAAGTCAAATATAAAAAATCAATATTGTGAATATTAAAAGATTACTTTGTTTACTATGTCAGAGCTATTTAGTTTGTTTTATATGGTCATCCTATTCTCACTTTACCACAGATTTATCATCTTTACATTTGAGGGTCAGCAGTTTCTATCAGCATGAACAGGGAAAATTTCCCATCAATTATTTTAGAGTTGTATGGAAGCCTATGAAAAGTACTACAGCAGGAACACTCGGTTCTTTTTTTTTTTCTTCTCAACCTGCAGTCCCTAAATCATTATTTCAAGATAAAAATGTGAGCAGATTCCCATCTGTTTCTTGCCCCAGTGGTTTGTGTTTGTGCTGTGTGGTGGCTTGCTTCCCAGAGGCACAGGAGCAGAGTGTCCCGTGCTGGTTTGGGTACCAGGGCTCTGTCAGAGCAGGGCTCAGGGCCAGGTTTCAGCACTGTCAGCTCTGAAGAGAGGTGGATTGTACCTCAGCTTCACACCTGCTGGGCAAGTGTTGGCATGCTATGGCTATTACTTAAAGGAGAGGCATCACTTCTTGTTCAAAGTTTTCATCTGTCATTGCATTTTGTAAATAGCCTGCTGTGGCTGTGACAGGGGGCACACTGGCTATGCCCCTTCCGTGGCTTTTTTATTATTTTTAGGCATTTTTAGGCAAAAGGGTGCATCCTTTCCTGAATACTTGTACATTTTGAATGATGCTAAGGAAGATGCCAACCTACTAATATTAAACATTAAACCTGTCTTGACTGTGTTCAGAAGTAGTTGCAGACTCTTCAGTGACTTTAGAGGCACCTCTCGAGGTGTTTGGGTCAGTTAGTCCATGGCAGGTGTGAAGCTGCTCCTCCACTCCAGTCAGCACAAATTGGAGGCTGCAGAGCCATTGCTCGTGGCTGCAGAATGTCTGCACTCTGCAGCAGTGGTGAAATTTTGGAGAGAGCAGAGTTACTATTTGAAGGAGAAGATCCTATTTCAGCTTTTTTTTTTTTTTATGCTTCTAGAGAAGAGTGCTATAAATAGTGGGAAAAGAAAACTTTCTTTCATGGTACAAAATTCTTGTGTGTGCTTTGTTCCAAAACACTTCTGAGCATATTTCACTCAGCCATATATGTGTCTGTATTAATATACTCTGAAAGTTATGGCTATAATGGATCCCCAGCTTGCTGAGTCGGAGTAGTTTTGTGTGACAGCACATATGCTTGTCAAAAAAGATTCTTTGAGTAAATCTGTTGAAGAAAATATTTTTGTAAACCTGCAAGAGCCATAGTTATATCTGAGTTGCATGTAAGGATCAAAATGATTAGCCAGGAATCTAATACTGTGCTGGGAGATCTTCAGTTTTATGCTGCACTTCTCCTTCATTACATACTTAAATAAAGAAAAAAGGCTCACTAAATATGTATCATAACTGTTTTATACTGCAAAATTACATTTTTCTGAATGGACATCAATGGCAATAAACACTTACATACATGGATGGATTGAAGTGCTGATGATACCTGACACTTAAAATATTCCTGAAAATGCTACCAACACAACAATGATGAATGAGTAATAACACAGATAAAGAATATGTTAAATTTATTACTCAGAGGCACAGTGTAAAGCAAGAGGAAAGGTTAGATGATCCACAGTGATTCTCCTAGACCACTCACTAAATATGCATCACCTTTTTATTATTATTTTAATTTGTGATCCAAATACTGGATATGATTACTTCATCAGTGAACTATCAAGTCTAAAATTTTACTCAAATATTTTGACCTGTAGTTCTGTATAGTACTGTAAACTTTTCTAGAATGATCAATTTACATTGGTAAAGGGACAGCCTTCATTTCTAACTTTTTTTCCTCTGCAAAATGAGATTCCAGTAACATACATACTTAAATATAAAAGCTGCTTTTGGAAAAGTATATCATCATGGAAAATAGTTTATTAAAGGTACTGTAAGGTCTAAACTGATGTGTTGCTTACCACAAGAGGGCACATTCAGTCACTTCACAGTTTGTCCTGCAGAATGAAATATTTCCAAGCTGATATTTTGTATCATACAAGAGATTAAAAATTTCATATGTTAAGTACGTTGTTCTTTTCTGAATTGCTTTACTCTTAAAGTAAGATTTAATAATGCATTGCATTTCTATATTGTTTTAAACTGGCTGACACAGATTTTGAAATTAAGTTTATTTTTTCTTATATCTTTCTCAGACTCTCTATTGGGCATCAATAAAAGAATCTCTTCCCAAATGGGAAGAGTTTCTTTTAGGAAGAGCAGAAGTTCCTATTGGCTTTAAGAAAATGAAAGCTACAAAGCAGAGCATAAACTACCCTGAAGAAGATTCACAAAAATAAACATTTTAGTTTCATTTTGTTTTGTAATTTATCACTTAAGCAGAGAAGATCATCCAGATATCAACAGACTATCATGCCATTAAACTGAAATGTAAATAATTTAAATTAAAATTAGTTCTATAGGATTATTTAATTCCATTGTTGCATTGTGTACGATTCCTTATTTTTATTCTGTACTAGAGAAGTAATCCTCAAATGGGCTTTTAGGATAAAGAATGAGAAACATTTGTGTATAGATTTCCACCAAGGCAATTGGGTTTTCAGTGTGAGAGGAGTTTTATGTTATTTTTAATCCTCTGCTTCTACATATAAGTGCGATAAGTAAAGACAGATTCTTGCATTATCTTTCTTCACTTCAGTCATCTGTGGTGCATGCCTGCTCGTGGATGAGGCAGAAAGGAAGAATTTACTGTTAGCAGAAAAGGCAGACTGTGCACCAGAGTAGCCTTGGTTTAGCACCAGGAACCTGTGCAGGAACAAACTTGAATTTTTGCATCTGGTTTTCCCTGGTTTTTTGTCATTGCCACTTTCCTCACTCATACACCTCACTCCAGGCAGCTTTTCCCAACCTCCTTCTGCCTACATTGTATTTGTTGTCTAACGGGTGGGCAAACAAATCTGTAGGGCTTTTTGCTACTTCTAGGCTGCTCTTAATTCTATTTTCTTTCTGCTGATATAATCTACAAGTGAGAAGTTTTTCTGAGGCATGGAAACTTTTGAAGAAGCAAACTGAAAGGTAACTGGCAGTGGCATTCCACGAGTTGTTTCCACTAGTGGCTTTCTAGAAGTTGAAGATGTAATATTTTCATTTTCAGTCATTGAACAGCTTCCCAGGTTCCTCCTACAGAGGTGCAGTATCAGTGAGTTTTAATTGTACTGAGCTAACTTGGTATGAAAAATTCACTGTACAGAACTTCTAGAAGTGTCAGTTCAGTGGAAGATCCCTTCTGGTGTGTGACATGGCCTGCAAAAAAATTTCTTTCCTAAGCAAAAGAAGCCAATAAAATATTAATTTCTTTTATTGTTAAGAACCTGGACAGGTTAACAGTCAATATACTGTTAAAATTTAATCTCTTGCAACAACGTCATTCAACCCCCAACCTGGAAGTAGTAGGAAAAAAAAAGTACCTCTGCCAGTGTCTGAGGATATGAAAACCTAATGATTGCAAATATTATTAGTCTGCTAATTATCTGAGCTATGCATCTTCATACTACATAGAGACTCCACCATTCAAAAAACATTATATCCCTATGCAGCATGAAGAATCACTGACACAATAAAATCAAAACTTTAGGTGCAATATTAAATTGTGTATTTTCCACAGGATTATTAGGAGTTCATTTTAAACTTTTTCTATTGAAGTGTCCATTAAACTGATAACTTTTTACAGAAACTGCCATCTTAGAATTATCCTGTTGAGTGGGTGTTGGTGTTTGTAACAATAACGTTGTTTTCATAATATGTGATGGCAGATTAGCACGCTTCTCTGCAGTGTTGTTAACAGTTGTAATTAAGGAATAAACAGTAAAGGGTGTCAGTCCGATGACAATTTCATCTATAGTGTCACAATACAAAATGTCACAAAATATTAGAACTGTTATATAACTACAAAAATATCAAATTAGGCTTTCATCTTACAAGCTGAGAGCTTAAAAAAAACTTGGCATAGAGACCATTGCAATTTTATACCTACTCAGTGTTCTGTCACAAAGACAACTTGGTAATATTTTCTTCTGTAAACTCACAATGTGATTCTCGATCTGATTTAGTGGGAATGTGTATAGATCTTACAGTTGTATAGCTCACGTTTAAAAAGCAAATAATTGGAACCGTTTGAGCACACAAGAATGGAAAACCTATTATAGATGATACTCAGAATGAAGGGATGGATGAGCAGTTACTAACAAAGAATGGGACTCATTCTGTTCTTTGCATCCAAAGGGAAATCACTTCAATAAAAATCTGGGCCCCTAAGTACTTTATACATGGAATAATCTGAGTCTTTATCTCTTCTGACTCTGCCTAACCACTGGGACACAATGCAGGTTCTCACTCTCCTTGCCCTGGTGCTTTCCCCTGGAAGGAGATCTGGCTGTGTGGACATGGAGTGCAGCTCCATGGGTGAGAGTTTGGCAATGTGCATGAAAGGCACCTGCAAGCAGGGTTAGAGTGCTTACCCTGCTGCAGTTAGGTGCTCACATAGCATGCCTGAGAGTAAAATGAAATTATCTTCCAAGAAGGAATTTAATTTCCTGCAGCATAACTTTAGAAGCAATAGGGCAACTAGTTCAAGGAAAACTATGTAGGAACATGTCCAGGAAAATAACAACTGAATAAAGAGAACCATTTAAAGCAGGAATATGTGTAGGTGACTGTTCTCAGAGACAAGGGCCTTCATGTTGGCTTGTGGTTTGAAACAAATAAATGCAATTGCCTACGACTGTGAAATAGCACAGTAATAGGGGCAGGGGCAAGTGTCTGCTGAGTTGGGCCATGCAGTGGCAAGGGACCATAATTATATGGGATCTCCTGTTCTACTTAGATTTGTTGAGTTTAATTTGCCATGGCTGGGCTAGCTTGATACTTGCCTTTTTATAGATACAGATTTGAGAAAGCAAATGTAAAATTTCGGTGTGCTTTAAAAAAATTTAAGAATCCCCCTAAGTGATTTGTACTGATATGCCTATGAGATCTTGAATGGGTATTCTTCACCAAGTCAAGGCAGTCACTTCAAACCTATTGATTCTATGTAGTTATACCCTATCTTATCCCAAGCATTTATATATATAAAAGAAAATATAAAATATAGAAATTACATCATATAGATCTTTTGTAATTTCCTACTCATCATGAGTAAATTTTTTTCTCAAAAAGGACCAAGCTCACCACATCCCCCCAAAAGAACAAAAAAATCAAACACAAACAAAAAAAAAAAAAGCCAAAAAAAAAAAGCACCCCCCCCCCCCCCCAAACTTGTTCCTCTATAGTCTTGACTTGCTGCTTGCCCTTTTGTGTTACAATATGTGTATCATAAGGTGCAGTGGTCCTCAGGGCCTGTTGCTTCCTGTGCTTTTCTGTTAGGTGGGGGACAGCAACTGAGTAAAGAGCAGTGAGAAAACCCAAAGGTTTTCTTGTTTGTAAGTTAATCTTTTAGTATCTTGCAAGAAGAAATAATTAATCATACTTTTATCATACTTTTCTAGGTTAATGCACACATGAGTAACCCCAATACTAACCCAGGAGCACAGCCTGTTTACCCATCTTGTCACCTCTACCATCACATTCCCAAGCTTTTTACTTTCTCAGTTATTCTGGCTGTGGGGGCAGGAGCAGAAGGCAAGGCATGTTACTTTTCCCTAACATAAAGAAATTTCTTACTCTGCAGAATCTTCCACAAGCCTATTAATTTAATTTGAGAGTATATTGAAATAGTAAGTTGGTTTAGATGCATATCTGATACTATGGTATCCTCTTGACTGTATTTATTCAGGGTCATGTTTTCATAGAAGTTGGGAGTTAATTTTTAGGCTGAGCTTATAGTTCTTAATTTCTGTCTTTTTCATTCACATAGAGCAGGTTGGGGATGTACTTGCTCAGTTTGAGCTTGTTGGTACTGAAAAATAAGAAAACCAAATTTAAAAGGGAATGTACTTTTAGAGGTTATATCTGAAAGAAAACATTATTTACTCCATAATGGTAATTTTCATAATATTTTAATACTTGTGTTCAGATACAACTTGACCTTAAATATCACCCCAAATGCAAGCTGTTTTAACATATTTGTAATGCTAAGGTCTTCATTACTGTGATATTCTGTTTGCTCAAGGATTATAATCCATGGATATACTGTGTTATAGTTGAAATAAAGCTTTGATCAGTGTTGCATTCCATGTATGAGTTGGATGTAAGTTGGTGCCTGCTGCAGCCAAGTGTGAACAACGAGTAGGCCAGTGATAAATAACTTTGCTTAGGTATGGTGTTTGTTTTCCTCTGACTCTGATAGGCAATATTAATCTGCTGAGTGAAGATTAAAATCTCAGAAGTTTACTGATGAAAAATCCAAATGCAATGAATCCCAGATCGATTATTTTCACTCTTCCTATTGTTTCATAATGTGTAAGCTAAATTACTTGAGATACGCGATTACTAGGAAGATGTAGATACAGATACTCAAACCCTTGCTAAGGAAACAGGTGGGGGAAAATGGTTCTTTAGTACATCCTCCTGCTGTGTGAAACTCTTTGTCTTTGCTATAAATAGGGTGATTTAATTTGGGAATTTGCTACTCCTTTTAAACACAGTTAAAACAGCTCTTGAAAATGCGCTAAGCTGTACCCGCTGTGTTTGTAGCCTTCCAGTTGTAGCTTTTACATTTGGCTTACTTTGAATACGTGTGTTTTTAACGCATACGGATAGAAAGTATGCTCACTTCTTCCCATAAGTTTTATCGCTGTGATGATAATCTTAAAAATAAATGTGTGGTGTTCTTTCCCCTCACTCTCAGTCGTATCACCTACCAGAAAAGCCTAATAAGCAACAAAATAGTGTGAGACAGTATTTACATCACACTTTTGAAACAGATTCAAGCAGAACCAGCTGCTATAAGATTATTTTACAAATCTATTGTAAATTAATAAAAGGGAAAAATTGCCTTCCTTTAGGTAAATTACAGTCTCCTTTACTAATTACCGTAGCTTGAAGCCGCAGTAAATAAGTACCTGCCTCACTGCGGTGAATGGGAAATGAGAAATGCAATTTTGGTAACCAGACTTGCCTTTCTTTACCCATTTAGTTCGTATGTGTTCCAATAGCTTCATTCACGGAGCTCTGAGTGTTGCTCAATAAAAGCTTCCGGAGGATAATGTGTTCAAAGTGAAGCACATGCCGGCAGCTTTGTTCAGCGCCGCCGAACCTGCGCGCTGCGCTCCGCGGCCGCGCTCGCCCCGCGCCCCTCCGCTGCGGGCTCTGCCCGAGGGGCAGCGCTGCTTCCAGCCGGGAAAACGCCGAGCCAAGCGGCTGTGGGAAAGGGAGAAAGGAGGGGATAAAAAGCCCCGAACGAACCAAAGCCCGTTTGCCGGTGTTTGCCCGGTGGGAAGCGCGCTCGCTGCGCGCGGGGGAGGACAGGAGGTGCCGGGCGGTCCGAGCGGGGCGCGGGCACTGCGGGAGCGGTGCGCTGGGAGAGGGAACGGGGAGCGCATTGTGTCTGCGTCCTCCCTCACTCAACGGCGCCGAGACTCCCGGAAAGCTCTGGGCAGCGGGTTTGATTCCTTGGAAACGCTCGTAATAATAATGTTAAGGGTAAAAAACGTATCCGTAAATCCTTGGGAAAAAGGCTCGTCTATGTGACCCAAAGTGTCGCGGTCCCCAGACAACTGGAATCTGTGTTTAGAGGATGCTTAAACTACTGCAGCCGCTTTGCTCTATTTCTCGGACGTTTCTTTGTATTAAGTTTCCGGGTACACTTGTCTTTTTCCTCTATAATTAGCTTTCTTTTGCTGGATTCATTGATAGATACGATAATCCAGTGTTGGTAATATCTCAATTCATTAACATAATGAATCAGAAGGGAGAGGCTGATAATAAATCAGAAAGCTTCTATTTATGTGAAATATCTTGGCAACTGGCAGCAGTGAGAAGGCAGTAGAAGGAGTATCAGACGGTTAACGGGACCTCGGCAGCGGCTGCAGGAGGTCTCAGGTGCTCTCTGCGGTTTCAGCGCCTGAGCCCTTCACAGGACAATCGTGTCCATTGCAGTGGCGCTGATGTGGGAAAATACCTGGCTCCCGTGGCCTCGGTCTCCCAGGTGGTTCAAAGCGCCATCCCCGTTGTGTTTGGGCTCCCGGCCGCCCTGCGGGCTGGGACGGGGGATTCCACTGCCCCCCGTTTGTGGCACTGCCCGCGGGCTGGGGCGGCCCGCAAGGGGCCGGGGATGCTCCGAGAGGCTCGGCGAGGAGCCGGGAGAGGAGAAGTGGGTCCAGCGAGGTCCCCACTCCTTGTCCCATCGGCTGGGAGCACTTCTGCCCCCGGATCAGATCTCTTTTAAAGTTTGTTATCAGCCTGCTTCTTCTGCCAACGCAGAAGACGGCAAAGATGCAAATACTTGTAGAAGTCAAGTTTTGTGATGTTTCGGGCTTATACACCCAGAATTCTGGGAGCGGGCTTCTTCTGTGATCTGTGTCTACAGCGTTTTGTCCCCATTTGGGACAAAAAGGTGCTTCGGTGACTAAACACGCTCTTACCGGAGTCACTTTAAAGCAGAGTTTAAGATCACTGGTGACTTGAAGCACCCGCACTGAACTGCTGCTTGTGCTCCTGGGGAGCACGCCCGAGGCTCCCTGAGGGCTGAGCCACATGGCCCAGCTGCGGCTTCAACACCTTATGAGGAGAAGCAGCCCGTGAAACAGAGAGCACAGAAGTCTAAATGTACCCTTTTCCTTTTTCTTGGTTTTTTTTTTTTTAATTTTTAATTGAGGGCACGTGTTGCCCGTAATTCAATCAATTAAGCAATTGCAGTAAATCAATGAGATAAATACAAATAACACGAGGGTACGGCTTTGAGCTAGGCAGGGTTAGCGATAAGAGTGAGCTGGGGGTGGGGTTAAAAGCTGGGGCAGCGTCATTTGGAGAATCAGGGTGTGTGGTGGAAACCAGCTAGTAAGGGAATTTCCCCCTCTCCCTTACGTATCTTCTCTGAGGTGCTGTGGTGACGGTGTTGGCCAGCACAGCACCGAACCTGTGACAGGGCTGCTGGGAAGGTGGAGGGTGACTGGTTAGGACTGGTTAGGGCAAAGCTGGCCGTGGTGTGGGGTCTGAGTGCAGGAATCCTCAGGAGAGGATGGCCATGGGGTGCCTGGCCGGCCATGGGGTCGCTCCAGGATGGCAGTCCAAGGGATGGGTGCCTTTCCCTGCCGGTGGCTCCTTGTGCCTGCCCAGCCCCAGAGGGGACACCCGCCCCATCTGCATGAGGTTCTCAAGGGGTCTAGGGTAGCCGGGCAGGGAGCCTGTAGCCCTCGCTGTGGCCACTGTCGGTCCCGGCTGGAGGGAATGCCTCCGCTGGGATCCGCCGTGCCGGCTTTTCCCTCAGGTGCCGGGCAGCCGCCCCTGGAGCCTCAGTCTCCCCACAGAACTCAGCTGTGGATGGCAATGCAGCCCCGGCTGTCTGGGGGTACCCAGGGTATAAATTTGAAGGAGCTAGAGGGGACCTGAGGAGAGAGGCGTGAGGAGGTGTCGGGGGAGTGGGCAGGAGCCACACCATGAGGGGCTGGGGAAGGAACACAAGGGCTGGCAGCAAGAGCCTAAAGAACAGAAGTGCCCTGATCGCAACCCTAGGAGGGTGAGGCCCATGAAACCCGTCCGTAGAGGGGACCCTCGTGGATGGCACGCAGGGGTGGGCTGGCACCGTCGAGGCCCAGCAGGCTTACTTAAAAATCATGCAAATACTTCCGTAAAACGGCTTAAAGAGGCAGAAGGACAAGTCCTACAGGCACCTGGGCGTCCTGGGGGACACGGCGGTTTGGGAAAGGCATGCGTCAATTTAGCCCTGGTGTTGACTTAAGCGAAAGTGCTAAGCCATTCCTAAACCTAAGTCAATACAGACTTAAGCCAAAATTGTTATTAACGAGCTCTAATCTGATTTAAGAGCCTCCGAGCGAGCCGTGTCTACAGGACGCGCGTTGCCTTGCGCCGCGCTCCGCGGTGCCCGGTCCGGGGGGGCCGCAGCGGGAGGGGTCGGGCCGATGCAGCCCCGGGGAGGAAGGAGGAAGGCGGGTATCGGGGAGAGCCGGGCCGCCGTGATTTGGGCTGGCCGGTGATCTCCCTCCGCCGGATAACTTCTTAAAACTGTACCCAGCTCGGCTGCTCTGGGGCGGTTCGGGTCTGTGCGAGCGCCTCGGGCCGGGGCTGCCGGGCCCCCTCTGCCGTGCCCGCCCGGGGTAGTGCCGAGCGCCAGCAGCTCCGCTCGCTCCGAGAGGGACATGCCAGTGCATTTCTTCCCCTGTCCCAATGGGGCAGTTGAGCCCTCCACTCCACCCCTCACTGGGGGCCTTTCTTTTCTTCCCCACCAGCTTTGAGCAGCGCTGTTTCAGATTGGCCTTTTTATGTTTGATATAAAGAATAGTTGTTGGCCAATTCCATCTTTTCATCGCTGCTCTCCAGGCCCGGGTCCAAGCGGCTTGTCAGATGCTCATTAACTCCCCCTTTGGCTCTTTCCAGTGTGTCTCCTAAGCTCATTGTGCCAAGAACTAGCGCTTCTTTCTTTTTACATGGCTCCCTTTCTCTGCTCCATCAGGGAGACAAATTACTTTCCAAAAGGGATCGCCAGGGATGGTTTAATGAGAATTTCTCCAGCGCTGGCCGTGGAAATCAATGTAGTTAACATTCGGTGCACTTAATTGGACTTTTCTCTTCTGCCTCCTTCAAAAAAACTCTGAAGCTATCCTGTTAATCTCTCATTTGTAATCAATTGTGTTGACTAAACAAAAGTCTAGGTCGTCCTTTCTTCCTGTCCCAGACAATCCTTTGTTGCCTCTAAATGCCTCATTCTTGAGTGCTCCTGGTCGTGTAGATGGGTCCGATTTTTGACAGTTCATTATTGCGCTTTTGTCCATTTAATCTCCCTCGCTGTGTTTTGCATGTGCATGCCTTAATGAGCTCCGTTGGCAATTAACATGTTTCTAGCAGCAAACTGGTTGCTCAGACGTTTGGAGAGCGGAGTGCAGGGAAAAGGGCAACGCAGCTGCCTGTAGGTTGGTCGCTTCCCGGTGCCCGGCGCGGTGCCGGGACGCACCTGGGAGCCGCCCGGTGCCGGGGGAGCGCCGGGCCGGGCCGGGCGGGCCGAGGGGGAAGCACGGAGGCGCTGGCACGTCGCTCTCTGCTCAGAGGCACCTCTAACCCTCCCCCCGAGGCACCGGCACCGCTCAATCTGTTGTGTGCGCGGCTGCGGCGCCGGGAAAGGGGTTTTTGTGCGGGTTTTGTGTTATTGAGGCTTGCTGGCAAGAGTGCCGAAGTGTGAGCAGTCGTGGACAGCAGAAACATCTTGTGAGGGAGAAGATAATTGGAGTCTCTGGCGTGTGTGTGTCTGACAGAGCCGCCCCTCCCCCGCGATCTGCGGCTTGTGTGTGCCGGGATCCGGGCGAGAGCCGGGGGGGGTCCGGGGCCGGCCGGTGGCGAGCGCGGTGCCGCGGCCCCTTCCCGGAGCGTCCGAGATCGGGGCAAGCCGGAGCGACAGCGGGTCCGGGGAGGGCTGCCCGGCGCCCCCCAGGAGGGGCCAGGTGACCGAGCCCACCGGCGGCGGCGGACACGGCGCTCCGGGTGCCCCCGAGATGCCCTCAGCCGTGACGGGGATGCCGCCTCCCCCCAGACGGCTCTGTCAACAACGCCGCTTTTTATAAAAATGCGATAAGAACGCACTTCCTTAATTCCCTCCCTGGGAGCGGGTTTCGCGCTGCTCTCGCCCATCAGGAGAGCTGAGGAAGCAGCCTGCGCGCTGTCTGTGGGGCCCGCAGCCGCGCCTGGCTCCCGCTTTCGGCTCCCGGCTGGCAGCCCAGACCTCTCCCCGGCGCCCGAGGTGCCGAGAGAGCGGCGCTTCCCCCGGACCTGGCAGCGGCACCGGCTCCGTGGGCGCCTCTCGGGATGCGCGCGCCCCGCTCCCGTCCTCCGGGACCTCGTCCTGCCGCGGCCGCCCCCGGCACGGTGTCCTCAGGGAGAGAGGGGTCCCTCCCGCTGTCCCCGGCCCGTGGGTTGTCCCGCCCCGTCTGTCGCGGCGGCGGGAGAGCCGGGCTCGGCTCCCGCCTGCCGGGGCTTCAGCCGCAGCCCCTTCACTTGCGGGACCGCTTCCCCCTGACAGGGTTTCCGGAGAGGTGACGGGGTTTGCATTTTTTTTTTTCCTTTTTAAAATTTTCCCTTTAATCTAAAACTCTCCCAATTTTTTTTTAACAAATTCTGTTACGCTCTTTCCCCGCTGCCAGGATCACTGGACATTCTTTTTCGCCCCTCAAACCGTCAAAACGCTATTTCAGACACTAGAAAATGCAAACCCCGAGAAACTCTAAAATCGCCCCGTCTCTACAGCGGGAGCGCGGGGCCCGGAGCCCTGGCCCCAGCCCCCAGCCCTCTCCTTGGAGAACATCGCAGCCTAATAATGAATCCAGAAACCCGGAGCGAGGGGTTGACTCCCGTTCCTGCGCTCGGCGGCGAGCTGTGCTCGTCCTCGCCTCCCTCTATTTAACCACTCAATTAAGCGGAGGAAGGTGAGCTCCCCATTACGCCGTCCCCAGGCATTTCAGTGCCTCTCTCGTTCCCCTCTTCATTGGCAAACCCGGCCCGAGCAGCACGCACACGCCCGGCCTCCTCAATCTCCTTTCTCCGCTAGAATAATATTGTTCCTAACGACGTGGCCGGAATAGACACTTGCGTATTAAAAGTGAGGGAGGGGGGGAGATGAGAAGGGAATATTTAGTGTAATCCAAGTGCTTGATTATCCATATTCTGATCACAAAGAGTTTCTGAGGCCTGCTGGGAGTGATTAGATTAATGTAATGCGGTTTGAAGGGTCTGTGTTTTCTCTCTTAATTTGGGTCATTACTCGGAAAGCAAGCGTGAGATCATTTTATCTGCATGCAAGGAAAGATAGTCATTCAGGAGCGGTTTAAACACGCCGTAATGAACCGACCCCGAAAAGCGGCGCTGGGAAACTCCGAGCCGCCCTTCGCGCTGCCGGTCGGGGCCGCGCAGCCCCGCCGGGGGTCCTGCAAGGGCTCTGACCCCGTTCCGGGGGGCGGCAGCAGCCCTCTGAAGCCGCCCGGCTCCCTCCCGCCCTCCTTTTGCTCCTCTGGTGCCCGCGGCGCTCAGCGGGCCCCGGAGCGGCAGGGCCCGGCTCCGCAAGCCGCGCTCGCACGGGGGGACAGCGCCGTGCATCCCGCTCCCCGCTCGGGCCGGGGCCCAGGTGGGAAATGAGACACCTGCGAAGGGCCGGTTTATTGTCCCGTGATAGATATAGATATAGATATATTCCTCACTTATTCGAGCGTACATTTAAAATGGAGATTTACAGACACGTATAAAGAGCGCTGTCCTGGCGCCGGGCGGGGGGCGGCCAGCCCGGCCCGTCCTGGCCCGCTCCGGCGGCGCAGCGCGCCGTTAAATAAGATTCCTCTTATATACAACTGCGGCTCGGGGTCGCTTGCTACCGGCGGCTGAGCTCGCTGGGAAAAGGACAGAGAAGCGAAGGCTGGTTTGGATAAATAGTGCTGGCCTGGTTGAGCAGGTCCGAGTGTGGCGGCGCGCCGGGCCCTTAGCTCTGCCCGCTGCGCCCAGGGTCCCGCGGCGGAGGAGCGCTGGAGACGCTGTCGTGCAACTTTCGGACGTGCTTCTTTAAATCAAAGTTTCTGCAAAATCCTTTCCCGCAAGTGACACACGTAAAGGGCTTCTTGTCATTGTGGGTGTGCATGTGGAAAGTCAAGTTATAGATCTGGTGGAAGGCTTTGTTGCAAATGGTGCACTTGTACTGCTTCTCTCCGCTGTGGGTCAGCTTGTGGTTCTTGTAGTTGCCTGCGAAAGAGGAAAAAGATGGAAAAGGGAGTTACCCGAGAGTGCCCGGGCAGCACGGTGCACAGGTAAGGGGGGCTTTAGGAAGTGTCTCCACCCGCACCCCCGTCCCACTTGTCAAACTCGGTCCTCGTCAGCGCGGAGCAGCGCGCAACTGGCACGGCACAAATGAGAGGCAGGGTCAGCCCGGTGACCCGCGGCAAACGGAGGGCTCTGGATTAGGACCAAGGCCCGGCACCTTTCATTTAAAAAGCATTTAGGGGGAACCGTCAGCACTGCCCGGCGATGCGGCCCAGCTTAGAGGGAAAGTAATTGGGAGCGGCGGCGGATCTGCCCGCGCCCCTCGCTTTCCCCAGCCGGGCAGGGCTCGCCGCGTTTAATCCCCGCTAATGATGGGCGAGGGCCCCGGCGCGTCCCGGCTCAGCTCACCTTTCTGGTGGAAGCCCTTGCCGCAGAACTCGCAGACGAAGGGCTTGTAGCCGGCGTGGATGCGGATGTGGGTGTTGAGCGTGGAGCTCCTGTTGAACGCCTTTCCGCACTGGTTGCACTTGTGGGGTTTCTCCTGCACCGGGGTGCGAGAGGCCCGTCAGTGGGGGCTGCGCGGAGAGCAGGGGCGGCCGCCGCCTCCCGCAACCCGGCCGCCCCCCACCTACCTGGGTGTGGATGATTTTGTGCCGGCACAGGGTGCTGGCCTGGCGGAAGCCCTTCCCGCAGACCTTGCAGACGAAAGGCCGGGCCCCCGTGTGCACCGGCATGTGGCGGGTGAGGTTGTAGTGCGCGTTGAACACCTGCGGGGAAGCGCCGGGAAGGCGAGGTCAGGCACGGCCCCGCCGCCGCCGCCGCCCCCGGTTCCCCCACCCGATGCCGGCGCCCCCCTTACCTTGCCGCAGACCTCGCAGGTAAAGTTTTTGGGCTTGCCCTCCGCCGCCCCGCCGCCGCCGCCCCCCATCTTGGCGTGGCCCTTGGGGGGGCCGCCGCGCTCCGCCGCCGCCGCCTCCTTCATCACCTGGTCCAGGTGTCCCGGCAGCCGCTCCTTGTGGGCGAAGGGAGGCGGCGGCGGCAGCTTCTCGGCCGCCAGCCCCGCCAGCTTGGCGTTCTCCAGCAGGAAAAGCTTCTGGTGGGCCGAGAGCCCCCCCGGCGACGGGGCGCCCAGCAGGCCGGCCGGGAAGAGCTGTCCGTGCAGGAGGTCGGCCGGGTGGTACGCGGCGTCCAGGTAGTTGAAGTAGTAGAGGGAGCGGGGGGCGGCCGGAACGGCCCCTGCCTGGTGGATGACCTGCGGCTTGATGAGCCGGCCGCTGGGCTGGCCCAGGGCGAGCTCTGCCTTGCAGCACACGCCGCAGTTGGCTTTGCAGAGCCCCGCACCGCCCCGCAGGCTGCTCTTCCACAGCTCCGAGTAGTTGAGAGTCTTGGAGGGCAGCTCGTAGCCCAGAGGCGGGATGGGGATCACGCAGGGCAGGGGCGAGCACAGGCTCAGCGGCTTCTTGCCTGGCTCCGGCCCCGGCCCGCCGTGCCGCTCCTCGAAGGCCGGCTTGGGCTCCGACGTCTTTGCCATGATCCGCTCGATGGAGAAGGCCAGGGTCTTGGAGGGGTTAGCGGTGGCGGCTCTGCCGTCGTGCCGGGGGCAGGAGGAAGGCATGACCGTCTCCAGCGACCCCGGGCTCGCCATGTCGCTCCGCCGTGCGGGAACTTGGTGTGAGCAGCGACTCGCTCCCGCGCTCGGCTCTGCATTCCAGAAAAGCCAGGAGACAAATCAATTTAATAAGCACCTTGTTCTCCCCCCCACCCCACCCCCCACCGGCACCCCCTCCCTATTTACATTCAAATGAACATATTCAAGAACAATGGCACGTAGGGTACCAGATTACTGCTCATTAAGCGGAACACGCTAAAGTAACATGCAAGCTAGACCTTGTTAGTATTAAAAAAAAAAAAAAAAAGGAAAGAAAAAGAAAAACCTTCCCCAGCCCGATGCCACCCAGCCGAGCCCCAGCGATGGCCACGGTCCGGGAAATGCGGGAGCAGGGGCGGGGGGCACGGCGAGGGGCGGCGGGGCTCGCCTTGGGACCACTTACCTTTGCCCAGCTCCGGCGAGACTCATCCAAGCAGCGCAGCGTGGCCACAGTCACATTTTGATAGCAAACATCTTCCTGAGCGTCAGATCACGGTCTCGAACATTTAAAGCTGACATCATATGAAGTCACTTTGAGCAGAATGACATGGGGATGCCACCATGGATCTTCCCCAAGCCGAGGCGCCGGGCTGGAGCGCGGTGGGTTGGGGCAGAGAGAGGAAGACGAGCCCCCCCCTCTCCACGCACAATTTCCTTCCAGTTTAAGACGCACAAATCGCTCGTGTGCGAGCTGGGTTTTTCCTCTCTCTCTCCCTTCTTAAAAAGCAACTTGCAAAGCAGAGGAATCGTTTTGCATGTGGCAAATTAGAAGGCAAGTGCGATTCACAAGTTGGGTGGAAAAGAGTGCTCCAGTTCTTGCTGGGGTTAGAAGAGCCACTCCGAATGAGCGTGAGGATTTTTTTTTCTTCTTCTTCCTTTTTTTTTTTTTTTAAGAAGGGGGAGAATGATTTTTTTTTTCTAAAGCAACTACCACGCAACCATGCTCGAGTTATTTTGGCAACCCATCTGCAATCAGCTCCGTTGCAACCGAGCTGGAAGATAATTAATAAATTGTCACTTATCTGCGAGCCTCTCCAGCATGTATAAATTAATAGCCAACCCATTAATTAGGACAGTGTATTAATGTTAATTAAACTAAGTTTAATTCCAGCCCTCTCCCCTCTCAGGGTAACTGGTGATTAGCCTTAAATAAATGCGGAGGGAGTCGTGTCCAGGACTCGAATTCGCTGCTGAAAAAAAAATTTAAAAAATAATAATAAAAAAGACCCGTGTTCAGCAAAGGGAAGTTGTGCAAGTTGTCACCCCCTAAAGGTGTCCGCTGCCCCGGGGGGCACCCGGCGACTCTCCCTTGCCCTTGTAGCCCTTGTCCTGCCCCCCCCATCACTCCCCCCAGCACTTTCTTCTTCCCCCTTTCCCCCCCGCCCCCCCAAATAGGCGACGCTACATTATAGCGCCTGGATGCCGGGGTTTCTTTCCTTCCTCTCTCTAATTAAAACACCGTGATGCGGGAGGGGAGGATTTGCAGAAACCTCAGATGCGAGGACGCGGTAATTGAGAGAGTCCCGCGTACACCTGTTTGGGGGGGCCCGGCTGCAGGGCAGCACCCCCCGGGCTCTGATTAGCCGCCCCGTCCCTCGCCGGGGCTATTCAGCCGAACCAATTTTCCC